AAAAAAAAAAAAAAAAAAAAAAAAAGAAGAGAAAAGTGCCTCCTCGCCTGTCCTGCTCCTCGCTCCCGATTGGCTGCGCTCCCGCGCCCTGCACGGTACACAGTAACCAATGGCAACGACAGCCGGGTTGTCCCACCCTTGTATACACTGTCTTCACACCCATCCCTCAACCCCCGTGCCAGCCCTGACAAGAGGGGAATCCTCATATCTAAGCACAAGGCCCACTCAAATCTGCTGGCAGCAGACACAGACCACAAAACACCACTACCAAAAAAACTATGCCCGACACCAAAAAGCACCAAATACAAAACAAGAAGACACTCTACCTACTCCCACCAACAGAGGGTGAGCTGCCCAATGTTCCTGAAATCAAGCAATACCCTTGGCCGGCTACGAAGCAAAGGAAATTTTCCGTCGCCAAACAAGACCCAAATCTGCTAACCGCCCGGAAAGCCCAGGACAAACTCTTTGCTGCCTTTGCACCTCTGTTTCTGCAACATGGTCCTCCCTCCCTCCGGGCTGCGCGTCCGCCCGGTGCGTGGTACACAGTATTGGTATTGGACGGTTGTCAGAATAAATTTGCCAGCCTCCCTTCTACAGTTTGACCCCTTTAGCCACACAGCACTGTAGAGTGGACGCACTTGTGAATGCAAGATGGAAAAAGACAAACGCCCCTGAGGGTACCACAAACATTAGTCCATCCCGACCTGAGGCCCACTGACCAAATTTGGAAGAGAAGTCAATGGCGCATAGGAGTAGCAGGCTGGGGATTCAAAGACTTTCGACAGGAGGTGTCGAGAAGGATTCTCTGACAACTTGTGAATTTTGAGAAGGATTCTCTGACAACTTGGGAATTTTCTGCCCCATCTCCAATTTCGATACCTTGTGTGGCCAAGAGAAAGGGCCTCGCCACACCTATCCCGAAAACGCCAAAAAGTTGGGAAGCACTCACGAAGGGGGAGATGTAAGCACCCCTAGCATCTGCTCGGGGTGTTTGTTGGGAAAAAAAAAACAAAAAAAAAAAACGTTTTCTACAGTGGTGTGGCCGCACTGTGGCGAGGCCCAAACTATCGAAAATAGCGTTTTGGAGAAAGTACGAGCAAGCAGAAAATGCGTGCATAGTCTTTCGGGACATCTGCTAAAATTGGAACGATACAGAGAAGATTAGCCTGCCCCCTGCGCACGGATGACACGCATAATCGAGAAAGTACGAGCATACAGAATCCACAGAAATCGCAGAAATTCACAAATGCAAGAAACGGACACACTATACCTGTCTCGGCCTTTTGGCTAAGATCAAGTGTAGTATCCGTTCTGATCAGTT